ATTGAATCGTACCCCATGTCAAGAGAACTAGCCATTGATGTACATTGAAGGACAAAGAAAAATTCAGACCCTCTTCATTTAAAAAAATGAATATTTGTGAATAATTTAAGCCTTTAAAGTATTTATACTATTTTTGTGTATTTCTAGTCTTCTGTTGATCATACCTCTGGGGGGGAAAAATAGGTAGAAAGAAAGACTGCACAAATCTTCACTAGAGGAGTGTTGAAAATTGATCGAGGGCGTTGACTGTGTCTGCTTGGCCTACTGATGGACTGCTTAGGACACCAGTGAATATATGTTGAAGGAGTGAAAGTAGGTGTATTAGTCTGGATTCAACTGGAGCAGTGGAGCTGGTAGGAGATGCATCTTCACGTATACTAAGGAACTGATTACAGGGCATTGGCTTACCCACTAGTGGTGGCTGGCTAAGCAAGCCTGAGGTCCATAGGGCAGTCAGGAAGACACGATCATAACAAGCTGGAACTCCATGGGCGTGATCTAAATCTTGAAGTCCTGGAACTTCCAGAGAGCCTCCACCCTCTTTGAAAAGGCATCCGACTGGTTAAGTCAGGCTACCCAGGCTAATCTCCCTTTTGATGAACTTAAGTTTATAATGTCTGTAATGTCACTGTAATGTCACATTACAGCAGCACTTCAACTGGTGTTGACTGTATCAGTAGGTATGTGCATGCTACCAAATAACTGCAGCCTCCCTTCTGTCCTCCAGTTCTGGCAAGAGAAAACCCTTGTGGCCCACCCCACCTGGAAAAATACTAGGAAGGGGGTTTGTAGGAATGTAGTTCTGCTGAGCCAAGTTGAAAGATCACAAAGCCATTACAGTCAAAGTCTGATTTAGGATAATTTGCTATCTTAAGTTATTTTTTTGTTTTGTTTTTATTTTGATTATTTAGGTTTTTTTCATACACTATTTTAACAAATGATAATTCCTTGGATAAGATTAACTTGAAATTACTTTGGATCGTTCAAACTAGTCTGAGTCTCCACTGATTAGGTCACATATAACTCAGTAGCAGAGAAAACAAAAACAGTAAATTTTCATGTTTGACTTTTATCCTCCCAAGACGCCGAGGGACTGATCTTAGAACATCCCCCACCCCCCGCCCCACTCCATTCCCAAACTTTAGCCCCCAGAGACACACAATACCACTGTAAATCTCCTCAATATTTGTTTATACCTAAATAGCATTATGTATGTGGGTATGTGTTGATTGCTTCATAATATATAAAACCTACTCTTGAGATTGACTTCAGATAACTTGGAGAACAGATATCTCTTTTGGTTCCTGTTTATTATTTGAATATGCAAGAGGAGCAACTTGCTCAGAGGCCTAGTTAACAGTAGCTGGCATCTCCACTCACTTGCCAACAGCAGAGCTAGTTTATATCATCTTTGAAACAACAGTTTCCTCCCTTGTTAGTTTCAGCATAGAAAGTGTAGGGTGACTAGTTCTTAAATGCTGGCTGTGTGTAGTGTTAGACTAATGCTCAGTAATTCTATCATTATGGCTTATTTTTATAGTCTCTTCAGTCCTGAAGTAGACTCACACCTTAAGAGTATTATGACTTTATGATCAATTGTGCATATTGCATTTGGCACATTGCCACACAGTGTTCAATGATGATACTATATACTTTTTCATAGCTCCCCCCTCCAAAGATAGCATTATTTTATATGTGAGAAAGTGTCAGACTTTCCTGTCCCACAGTTGACTCAAGATCTGTAGAAAGAGCAGCTCCCTAAGGGCCAGCTCAGTGACTTGTGTTTATTTTTTTTTTAATATTTGTTTGTATTAATTATTTATTCAGCTGCACTGGGTCTTAGTTGTTGCACTTGGAACCTTCTAGTTGCAGCATTCAGGATCTAGTTCCCCAACCAGGGATCAAACCTGGGCCTTTTGCATTGGGAGTGCCACTGGACCACCAGGCAAGTCCTCCAGTGACATGCACTTAGATGTTTAGCAAGTAATTGCTGAATGAGGGAGTCAGCTGTCCTTTTTCCCTGGCTCTTGGGCAGCCTGTCCAATAGGTGACAAGTGTCATTATCAGCCAGGCTTTTTTTGTAATCCCTGTGACTGAATTTTAAAAAGTGAAAATGTTAGTTGCTCAAACGCTCTGTGTCTCTTTGCAATCCTATGGACTGTAGCCTGCCAGGCTCCTCTGTCCATGGAATTCTCCAAGCAAGAATACTGGAGTGGGTTGCCATTCCCTTCTCCAGAATGTCTTCCTGATTCAGGGATCAAACCCGGGTTTCCCACATTGCAGGCAGATTCTTTACTGTCTGAGCCACCCTGGAAGCCCTTTCGAATTTTAGGGACATGACAATTATAATACTTAGGCTGGACCTAAATCTTTTTTCTCTCTGGTGATTTCACACAACTGCCATTTCTCTATGGGAGCTTCTTACTCACTAGTTATTAGTGTTAGTATCCACATTGCTGCAAATTTTCCTTCAGTGTAATTTTTCAGTATATCTTTTCAATGCTTCTGCTTAAATAATTGACATTCCGTGTGATAAATTCACACTAGTATTATTTTAATGAATTACTTCATGATTATTAATTTGAGGATCCAATCTCATGAGAAGTTCAGAGTAGAACTTGTGCGTGGTAGAAAATGGATTTTTTAACTCTTCTAAACACACTTACTGCTGTCTCATGTTTTAATTATTTCTGGAAATCTAGTTCCATGGAGAACCTGCAAGAGAAAGAAAAATTAGGAGTCTGCCTAGGTTTGAATTCCACATGGACTACTTCCCAGCTATGCAGTCATGCCTGGGTGAATTATTAAATTTCTAGCCTTCAGTGTCCTCATCTGTAAAATAAAACCTTACAGAGTTCTGGTGAGGATTAAATGAGATAATGTCTAGAATGACAACTTCTTGGCACATAGTGCTCAACAACTTCCAGTTCAAGGATATAAATTTAACAGTAATAAGGTGAAGTATGCAAACAGTGCAGTCTCTTCATTTCAAGGTGAAGTCATTTCAGTCCCTTTCCCTGAACTCTGTGCCATGTTGTGGTAGCGAGTGGGAAAGTCTGCTTTCTTTTTGGGGGTTGATCTCATGACAGTCTACAGTAGATTTTTTTTTTTGTTTCTGTGCATGTATAATGCCTGTTGTTCCCCCGGCAGATGTCAACAGTGTCTTTTTGCCAACTCTGTCCCCACCTGCTTCTGCATAGGCTGATCCCAAGCTCTCTGAGCCTACTGCTGGTCCCAGCTGCTTCATTTGAAGAGGCCCACCCTCTTAGTGACCTCCAGGTCCCCAGTCAGAGCCCAGGGAGACTTCTGTGTCCTCAGTCATGCCTCATAGAGCCTTGGACAACCAGGGGAGTGTCTTTGCTCTCTCCTAGTGAAGGACTTCCTGTTCCCTTCTCTTCTGCCCTCTTTGATCCAGCTGCCACAGGGCATTATGTGAGCCAGCCCTCCGAGAATCTCAGACGAGGAAGGCCTGTGTTTGCTCTCTTGTCAGCTTTGTCCTCCCTCTTCCCTATGTCGCTCGCGTCTCCACCATCACCAGGGACACAGAGGTGGGAGGAGACGGGGCAAGCCACACTTATATTCTCTAATCTTCTTGCCTCTTCCATGACACTTTGTTCCCCTTCTCCAGCCTGGAGCCTTACATCTAGTCTGGTGTATGGTTTCAGGATGATGAAAAACCGGTTTTGTCAGCACTTTCTTTGGATCTGTCCTTGTTTCAGAGCGAGACAGTACAAGTCAAGAATCTGGGGTGTTTCCTGGACTGATGACTCCAAATAGTCTGCCATAGACGAACACCACGGGGCTGCTGCTGCTGCTGTTATTACCGCTACTTCTACCGCTGCCACACACGTCAACTTGATCTAAATTATCTTTATTCCGTTAAGGCAGTGGTTTCCTAAGTTTAAGTGAGTTTCACAGGTAGAAAAAATGTGTTGAATTGCCAACTTTTTCTTTTATCACCTGGTGGCTCAGAGGGTAAAGAATCAGCCTGCAATGTGGGAGACCCGGGTTCAATCCCTGGGTTGGGAAGATCCCTTGCAAAAAGGAACGTCTGGAGTATTCCAGTATTCCTGCCTGGAAAATCCCATGGGCAGAGGAGCCTGGTGGGTTACAGTCCAGGGGGTCGAAAAAAGTTGGACGTGACTGAGAGACTTAACACTTTTCATACATTTTTCTTTTATTGCCTGAGGAAAATTAATTTTTAAATTAGCATCTATTTATAACATTTCTCCCCCCCACCCACTCCCTCCCCACTGTGGAAGGATGTAATTGAAGAGCAAAAAAAAAACCACAAAAACCAAAAAACACCAAAACAAAAACCAACACCAAAAAAACCCCCAAAACAATCCTTTTAAAGCAAGTACATTTAGCCTTACGAATACTTAGCCCATTGTCCTTCGTTTGCTCATTTAACTGCAGTCAGTGACAGGTTCTTCCCTGCTGGCACCAGGCAGCCCAGCAGTGTTTGGAAATCACTGCCTTGGAGTGTCCCAGCCACCCAGGCTGGTTCACTGTGGGCTGTGATTACGAATGAAGTGCTTTCAAGATCAATGTAGAGGATGACTCAGGCCAAATAAAACACTGTACCTGAATACTCTGAGTTGAGTTTACCTGAATTTCTAGAAAATTGCTTCCAGTTCACTGCTTCACTATATTTGGGTAAACGTGGCCTCAGAGAGCTTTGGCAAGAGAAATTATAAAAATGCAGGAAAACCTTGTGATTTCATTTTGGATCTCCTTAGGAATCCTCATCAAGATGCAATTAAACAGAGAAAAATTCTGCCTTGGGGTGTGATTTTAATTACTCACCGTGTTCTGACTTGACTCTCCACGCTGCGTTTCTTTTCCTTTCCATATCACCGCTTCTGTGTTTGACATCTTCTCTAAACACAGCCCCACTTAGCTGGGAGGAGAGGGAGGGCAAGGCATGCATCTTCTGTCTCCTTAGTGCTTTTATCCCAAACCGTGTGGGAACGTCCTTGTCCTCTCCCGGCCCCCAGCCTCAGTTCTATGACCCCGTGGAGCCAGTGGACTTTGAAGGACTTCTGATGACACACCTGAACAGCCTGGATGTGGAGCTTGCCCAGGAGCTGGGAGACTTCTCCGAGGACGACTTGGATGTGGTGTTCACACCGAAGGAATGTCGAACTTTGCAGCCTTCTTTGCCGGAGGAAGGGTAAATTGTTTTCTGAAAATGTGGATGGGATTATGACTGTCATGACTGTTCGTGGTAAGGGGGAGATACCTTAATTCTGGACTTTTCTTACAAGTGACATTACTCAAATCTGTCAAGATGTGCAGGATAACTTCTATAGCACTGTTACTTCCAGGTAGATAGTTTTTGAATTGGTTTGACCAAAGGCCTTGAAAAGCCACTTGGGGTCTAAGCCAGTTAAAGGACTGCAGTGGGACAAAATGGACTGCCTAAGAAGAAGTGAAGAGTGCAGGCTCTAGACCCAGACTGCCCAGGTGTCAGCTCAGTGAATATGGGTGTCATGAGACCTCAGGAAATCTCAGTTTCCAAAAATAATAATCATTGAACTGCTTCCATTCAGAAGCATTTTAATTGTTTCCCATATATGAGACTGGATCAAGTCACAAAAGTAAGTTCAATCCACTTTTCTTGAGCATCTCCTATGTGCTGAGAACAGGGATAAAAAGATGAATAAGGCAAAGTTCCTGTTCTTGAAGCAAGTTTTGTCAAGTGGAAAAACAATGGGGAAAGCTCTGTAGTGTGAATATATGAATAGCTACTTACGGTTGCATTTCTTCAGTGGGTTAATCCATGTGGATTTGTATCAAATTATGGAATTATTTTTAGATGTAACATCTTTATTTCCATAGTGTAGAAAGCAGTGTCTCTTTGGAGGTTTAGGATGAGGTTTTATTTGCATTCATTTTCTAAAGCAGATTAAGATTCACATTCTCCTGGACATTCTCACCCTTCTCTTCTTTCCCAAAAAGTCCTGTAAAGGAGATCATAAAACAGGCCACTACCCTCATTACTCGAGGATATTTCAGTTTTAGTTTGGATTTTATTTCATCACAGTTTAGGAAGTTGGATGACAGTGACATGGTATTATTTTGACCCTTTGGTCTTTGTTTAGATAGTTCTCATTCACACAGAAGAGCTGACCACATTCTCAGCTCTTAACATTTTGAAGACACTCACTTCCCAGAAAACAAAATCATGGTGATCCTTGGGAAACATTCTTCCCTATTGTCAGTCCATTTGTTCAGATGTGACTCTCATAGTGGTAACATCTATTATTATTACCTTTGGTAGAGAATCATTTAGTTTTATTTCTTTGTGTAAAATATATGGTTGTCTTCAAATGAGATCAGAATCTTGGGAAAGCCTGTTTAAAATACAATCAGTTTACATGTAGGAGGATTCTTTTTTTGAAATTTGATAGAAGAGATAATTTTTTCCTACCATCAGTTTTTGAGCATAATATTGCCCTGTCACCGGAATTGATAACTAACACATTTTCTGTCTGATGGCTTTCAAACACTCTCTACTGTTTCAACTGTTGCCCAAAAGACTGGTGTATAATTAAAGCCCAGGAAAGTATCATCATCATCAGAGCAAACAACAGCTGACTCCTGTTGAACCCACGTGCCTACCTAGGAACTTGATGTTGAGCTGTGATAGTGTAGTGGGTGTAAGCCTACACTCCCAAGTGAACAGCCTGGGTCAAGTCTCTGCTCTTCCACTTGCTGAGTGACTTTGAGCAAGATGTTTCCATCTCCTCCTTCTGCAAAATAAGAATAATATTAGTGCCTGTTCTGTGGCGCTGACTGACATTAACTGAATTAATACACATAGAGGGATTACTCTAGTGTCTAGTGCAGAATGAATGGCACGCAAATGTGAACTGTCACAGGAAAGTCTTACTATGTGCCAGACATTCATCTCAGAACTTCACATACTGACTTAATCTTCATCACAGCTCTCCACAGGAGCACTGCATGATTACTATCACCACATATGATGAGGAAACTGAGAAGGGTTCAGTGACTGGCCCAAGGTCACATAGGGAATAAGGAATGGGGCTGGGGTTTGGGTAGTTAGGGCCCAGAGACCACACATATGACTTTTACAATATTCCATCTAAAACTAGCAGGCAGTCCACAAGGCAGGTACTGTCCGTCTTTTTACAAACCAGAAAATTATAACTTAGAGCATTTAGACCTGTTTATCTATAGTATCAACACATTTGGAAGAACAGCAAAACAAAACAAAACAAAACAAAACAAAAACACCTTTTCTGTTGTGGGGAATTAATGATTTCTAGTTTCCAGTCTCTGAAGTATTCTAAGAGTCTTGCTCACGACTCACTCTATACCAGTAGACAAAAGCCACCCAAACTTAATAACCACCAACCAAAGCCAGGGCCTGTCAGCTCCTGATAGCACAAGACAACTCCTCTTTCATGGACTTTCAAAAAGGAAAACATGCATGTCCTAACAGGGTTACATATGAGCAAAAAATATGCCCCGATCACCCTTGGGACAGATTGGTGTTTATACTTATTCTTCCTGTTTTCTATATGATTACAGCTAGCTCTACCTGTCCTGTCAGAATGCCTTCAGGGATAGGTATAGTCTAACACGGTTCTCTGTAATAAAGAAAACGCACAAAGCATAAAATGCCAACATGTTTGTCTCATCAAAGTAAAAATGTTACTGCCTTAGGAATATTTCAGATACTTGAAAGGATTGGAAAACAACACCTTTCCTCTTCTCGGTTGATACGGCTTTGAAATCATGCTGCTCTCCTTGGTTATGATAAAGGATTGCTTCGTTGTTTTTACCTGGTGATAACTTGTTTTATGTTTTTTTCCATCTCACTAGGGTTGAACTCGACCCACACGTCAGGGACTGTGTTCAGACCTATATTCGGGAGTGGCTAATTGTGAATCGGAAGTAAGTTCATTTTTTTCCCTCTTCACTTGTATATTTACTTTATATTGTTAGCTTTTTAAAATAACTTTAAAAAAATTAATAAACTTTGAAAAAACTGTTTAGGCTTATAAGAAAATTGATTAGAAAGAAACACTGAGAATTCTCATATACCACGTCTTACACATTTCTCTCTATTTTTAACATATTGGGATTTTTTTTTTTTGTCCTTAAATGGCCAAGAATATTGATTTTGGAGATTACAAATAAATTTTACCATAAAGGTAAATTTGCAAATACAAAATCCATTAATAGTGAGGATTTGACTATATTTTGTATCACTCTCCTGCTCAAACACCTTCTAAGGCACCCTATTTTCTGCTGTATCAAATATAAACACCACCTTCTTGCCTTTCAAGGATTTTAACAATCTAGCTCCACTCTGTCTTCTGAAACTAATATCACTTAACTCCTGGAGCTCCATCCTTTCTCTGGGCTGGCCTCTTTCTCACTGTTGCCCCATGTGACCAACCTTCCCCCACACCTTTGCTCTTGCTGTCTCCCCTTTGGGCATGCCGTCTCTTCTTTCATCTATCTTCTAAATCCTACCTGTGGATGAAAGGTCAAATCAGATTTTTCTTATGCAACTTTCTCTGACTAATATATCCTTCCTTGATTGAATTCTACATAAGTATTGAATATCTGATATAATTGATGAGCCAGTTTTGATACATTATCTACCAAAAGGCTTATTTTTTATGTTGTACATTCTGTGATTTTGACAAATGTATAATGACGTTTATCTGCCACTGGAGTATCATCCTGAATTGTTTCACTGCCCTAAAAATCCCCTGTGTGCCACCTGGTCATCTCTTCCTGGCAACCACTTCCTTGTCCCTCTATGTCTTTTTGTGACTTGATAGCTCATTTTGTGTTTTGCTGGATAATATTCCACTACATGGATTTACTCATAGTTTTATTTATCAACTCACCTATTGAGGGAGAAAGGTAGATATTAAACACAAAGAATAGAGTTCTTTTGTTTCTGTTCTGATGAATTTCTGGGGGGTTGTAGGGGTTAATGAATCAAAATTTGACCTTAGATTTAAAGGTAACATTTATATTTGTGACCAAGAAATAAATTACTTGCCTTCTAGTCCCTGTTGGCTCAGTCGATAAAGAAGCTGCCTGCAATGCAGGAGACCTGGGTTTGATCCCTAGGTCAGGAAGATCCCCTGGAAAAGGGAATGGCAACCCTCTCCAGTATTCTTGCCTAGAAAGTCTGATGGGCAGAGGAGCCTGGTGAGCTACAGTCTATGGGGTCGCAAAGAGTCAGACATGACTGAGTGACTAATACTTTCACTTTCTAGTAAAAAAGGTCCTTCTCTCTTGGGTTCATCAGATGTTCTTTGATATTGTCCTGAGCTTTATATCTCCATGCCAGTGACCTTGACAGTTGCCTCTAATGAGAAACATCTACCCACGCTAGAATTCTCAATGTGTTTGTGTATACATGTTAGGGAGCTGGCTGGGAAGAATCAGCAATAGGGGGCAACACTCCACTCACCTGGCTAGGTGAGCCTGTGACAACACATTAGTAGTTTGAAATTCTTATTTCCTCACCTCTCTTATACTCCAGTAAGAATTTTTGTTCTGTGAGATAAATGATGAAAGACTTTGGAGACTGGGTTTTATCCAGCTCCTGGAATTGTGCCATTGAATTTGTGTTGATGTGTTTTGGAGTAATGTCAGTATGAATACTATTTTCAGTAGCTGACAAATAGAAGGGTTTGCTTGTATGACGTAATTAAGAGAAAGATGTTCATCTATCGTCTATTCTAAAGTGAATGGAAAACCAAGTTTGCTGGGCAGTCAGATAAGAGTATACTTTGCTGATAATAAATAGAAGTTTTCAGAACAAGTTGTTCTCATGCTTTTAAATGTTATAATTAGAGATACTTTCTGGATATGAAGGTTCTAAAAAAATCTGAGAAGGGACAATAAATAGAAAGGTCCATTTTGCTACATTTGGTTTTTATTTTCTGTTTGGGACAGTGTGCTTTTTCATTCTTCATGGCAATTCCCACTGGCAATTTTTTTCTCTATCTCGAACAAACTTAAAGGACTCTTCTTAGAATACTCATCGTAAAAATTTTAGAGATCATAGGGAAATGAAAAGAGAAAACAAACTCAATTTCACTATAGACAGATAACCACCATTAACATTTGATGTGTTACCTTTGAATCATATTTCTTTGTTTATATTTATATAAAACTTAAGTCAGATTACTATTTGTAGCATGCTTTTTCAGTCTTCACAGTAAGTGATAATTAGCTCTTTGCTATTAAATATTTTCTTCAACACAGTTTTTAAAAATTGTATAACATACATAGATACAAAAATTTATTTAACCAATTTTCGTGTTTAGATAATTCCCTGTTTTTCAGTGTTATACCTAGCAGAGCAGCATTCTTGTGTTTAGTTGTGATTTTTCCCTTTGGAATAAATTCCTATAAGAGGAGTTTCTCTGTTTAAGTATATGCACAAATTTAAGGATTTGGGAATAATAATATATCAGAGAGATTGTTAACAATATATGTATGAATCCTCAAGAATATTGGATGTTTTCATAAATTTCTAATTTTATTTGTGAAAAGGTAGTCTTTTATTTGCATTCCTTTGGTTATTTAGATTTGGTATCTTTTTTCTGTAAATTTGCTGACCATTTGTAAGTTTTCCTTGGTGCTCTGCTTATTCATTAAATTTGTGTATCTCTATTAATGTTTTTGTCTGGTCATGTTTATCTTTAGGACTGCTTTCATTTGCTAAAACATTAACTCTTTGTCTTTCATATAATATAAATTCCTTACCCAGGAATACTTTTTTTAACATTCAAAATTATTTATTAATGAAATCTATATTAGCAAGTTTCCTAATGGTTTATATTTTTGCTGTCATGCTTAAAATTTAATCCAGAAACCTAATATTAGTTACTAAGAATTTTGGATTAAAATGTTAATCTAGACCATTAGCCCCTATGATTATTGCTTCTGTTCCCTTGTGTGTCTCCACTTGTTTTTAACTCTTCTGTAGGAGCAGTAATTATTCATACATTTATTCTATTCAAGTTTTGCATCTTTTTATTTTCACAAAACAAAGCAATGTCTGTTTTAACATTATGTTTGGCAACATGTAGAAGATGAGACTTGTAATTGGCCTTGTTATCTTCACATTTGGGTAGTGGACCAGTTTGTTTCTCAGAAATTAGCTAATGGACAGGTAGAAGTGTTCAACTTTGAAATTCATTGTCAGTTTCTGGAAAGCTTTGACTAGTGTTTTGCTGAGGAATCATCCTTTTCTACTATTTGACCCTTTGGTATGCTAAATCTGATACTCTAACATAAAAGCTATAATTCCTAGCACACACCCCTTCCAGGATCATTCTGCCCTCATGTGTATCCATAATACTTTATTTGCAAGGAGCATCCAGTACATTATTGCCAGATGCCCTTCATCTCCCAGTTCTACATATGTTTTAGGCTGGTTGTTTTCTGTGAGTTGTTTCTATACGGTTGCAGATTGATGGTAGAAAGAGAAAGGCAAGGAAGGCGGTGGTTCTGGTGATGGTTCATGTCAGTAAAACCAGGTGGAACCTGTGAGTGGCTTCGTAGATAAACCACTACAATGAAGAAGGAGAATTTAGATTTCTGACTATTATTATAGACATTGACTGTTTAGGGACTGGCAAGAAGGGAAGTACAAAACGCTATCCTCTATGTTCCCCTTTGGGGACAAAGTATGGTATATCCTCCTTCTAGCTTCATTGGATCCACAGAAATTCTGTCTACACTTAGGCATTAAGTTTTCTGTTTTGGTGAGTTTCTGTTTTTCTGTGTCTTCATAGGCTGGGAAGTTGGAGGAAGTCACAATAATGGTTGCTGACCAGTTATTAATTGGTGATTAATGAGCTTTCATTTGAATTTCTTATTTTATGTGTCAAATAGTGAGTGCCTATTTTGAAAGAAATCAAGCAATAAGGAGTGTACTAAGTAAAAAACTAGTCTCTTGCCTCACTAATTGCTTGCTCCGTGTCCTCTTCAACTCACTCTTCTTTTTAAAACTTTTTCTCAGATTTATTTTTTATTGAAGTAACATTAGTTTATAACATTATATATTTTACATCTACAATGTTATATTTCTATTTCTATGTATGCTACAGTATGCTCACTACCAAAAAATGTGGTTTCTATCCATCACCTTATGGTTGATCACCTTTACCCATTTCATCCTCCTTTTGCCCCTAACCCTCCACCACTCTGGTCTCTGTGTTTTGCAGAGTTTTTTGTTTTTTTCCTACCAATTCTAAACTGCATAGAGATCATTGGGTAGCCTTCTAGATCCTCTTTTGATCCCCTCACAAACACATATAAATATTTGTATTTTATATAAACATTTTTATATGCCAAATATACACACACATACATATTTTACATACATGCATAATTGTTTTCAATAATGTATTTGGCATCTTCCTATATCAAAGACCTATCTATCCCTTTCTTTTAAAATGCTGCCAGGCATTCCAGGTGTGAAGGAATATACCATAAATTATTGACTTCTTTTCTGTTGTTAGACGCTGTAGTTGTCTTCATTTTTCATGATATAAATGATACCATAATGAAAATCCATTCACATTTGCCTCTACACATGTGTGAATATTTCTGAAGGTAGAAATGGAACCATATAGTCTAGTAAGTACTTCCAAATTCTTCTCCAGAAAAGTTGTGTTGATTTACTCCATTACCAACTGGACATGAAACTGCCCTCCCCACCCATATCCTTGCCAATGCTGGATATTATTGATTAAACTAAAATTTAAATTCCTCTAACCTTATTCTAGTTATTGTTTTAAAACTGGAAGTCACTGCTGCTGCTGCTGCTACTAAGTCGCTTCAGTCATGTCCAACTTTGTGCGAACCCATAGACAGCAGCCCACAGGCTCCTCCGTCCCTGGGATTCTCCA